ACACCTTTCCTGGCTTTGATTTGTAAAGAGGTAGCGTGTTTAGTGGAAAGAGGCTGGGATTAAAGTCTGCAGACCTAGGGCCAAGCCTCAGCTCTACAACTGTGAGAACTTGGACCAGTCACATGTAGCTGTGAGCCTCAGTTTTATTTTCACCATAGGATCTTAAATCTGGAAGGGCCTCAGAGGTAACCCCTGCCTGCCTATCTTAAAAGAGTTTGGGAATCAAACATGATAGTAAAAATTACAGATTAACCAAAATTGCTGTACAAGCATGAAGTGTCATTATTACCATTCAATGGCTGAACATTGCTCAGATACTTTCTACCTAGCAAAAAGCCAGGAATGTTCCCAGTCTGTCTTCTACAAAGGGGAGTTTGTAATGTGAAAACTCACCATGAGACTGAATCTCCAGAGCTCAGCTTGCAACACATGAAATGAAAACAACAGGGAGACCAGTCAGGGAGATGATGCAGAAGATAAAGCCAGAAATCAAATGTTTCTCCATTGCAGGCAGATATTTTGTTGATTTGTGTCTACACTTCCAAAACACACCCTCTACCCCTACTCAAATGAATTACATTCTGACAGGTACATTTAGACTTACAGATTCATACTTTTGTAATGTTGAACCTGTCTGTAACCTCATATTCCTAGAGAACATCCCTGTGCCAATGTGGTTATCTACACGTGCATGAATCCTCATACTGCTTTGGGACCTCATTCCTAAAATTGTTACAGTTGCAGAGCAAACAGTTCTATTTTATTTTCACGAACTGCATTGTACCTCGTGACCTCACCCTGTACCAGCCCTTGGAACTGTCTCCTCTCCCCAAAGCTCCCTACCTTGATTGTACCCCAAAAGGGAACCTTGAGGCTCTGGAGTCAGACTGACCTTCATGCTGCTCCTGACTCACCTCTCACCAGTTATCAGGCCTCCTCAGCTCTCAGGCCTCCATGCATCACAGAGCTTTTCTGACTCTCCAATGCCTCTGCATCTGTTACATGGGACTAAAAATACAGAGACCTCCACAGAGGTTGTGAGGACAGAGATATCTGCAGTGCCTCTCTCTGCTGAAGGTGCTAAAATTAACACTGGCCTTCAGGCCTAGGCCCTTGTCATCCCTGACTAGATTACAATCTTAAACCTGGCCAGTTTTCCTGCTTCCATCCTGTCACCATCCAGGCTGCCCTGCACTTTGAATCAGGATTTCAGAAAGGACCCAACACAAATAAACATTCCAAAGCATATCCATCATGTTACCTGCCCAATCCCAAACCTTCCAAGGTTCTCACTGCCCATAGTCTCTGTGGAGAGCCCCTTGGATCAGCCATCAAGAGCCACCCCTCTCCCCACTACCACCTGCCACCTTGCTTCATCTCCCTCTTCCTCACCACAGCCCTCCCACCATTGCTCCAACCCATGAGCATGTTCAAACCTTCTCAAGATGTTCTTTTTTCCCACTCAGAATCAGTCCCTCAGCAGACTGGTGAGACCACCCACTACCCTAAGGAACTTTCTAGGCACCTCAGGGAGGCACCTGACACTCCCACTCCCAGAGAAGATAGGACTTGGAGAAGGGCTTTCAATGGCACAAAGGCTGTCTCGCTGGAGAAAATTTTCCTCGTTGATTTCTGCATTGAAGCATGCCTGTGAATGGAGATCACTGGGGAGGGCTATGAGGCTGCAGATAAGATCTCCCCTGTGTTGGTAGATCCCCCTACCCGTGTTTGTGGGGCACCCGCCCTATTCTCCCACCTCCCGCACCACTTATCACTGGGAGGACAGAGCTGGGTGGAGCTGCAGGAGCCAACACTGCACTTCTGCATTGCGGCGCGGGGCTGTGCGAGACAAAGAGAGAGATTGCCACCTATTGACAGACATGTCACCTGCAAAGAGGGAATGATTGTGTAACTAGTGGCTCCCCCACCTCTGTGTGCTCTTCAAATGGGCCTTTTGTTTTTTCCATTCAGTCGGTCCTGTTCTATATTATCACTGCAGTGCAAGGGAAGACAGGGAAAAACGGGGACATGACAGCCCAAGGTGGTAGTGACAGCATCTCAGTGGGAAAGTTGTCTGAAAATAAATTGCCCACTGTAATAATAGCCACTTTCAGTTGGTGTGGCAGGCACTGTGCTGCATGCAGTCCATCCCCTTTAATCTTCACAACAGCCCTTTAAGAATCAGTACTACAACTTTTCCCATGAGGAAGCTGAGGTTTAAAGAGAGTACCTGGCCCATGACCAGCAAGTAAGGAATAGAGGTGGGATGTGGGTAATTCAAATCTAAATCTCTGACGCACTCTTACGCACATTCTCCCGTCACTTGCTAATTATGCAATTCACACCTCCATGATAATCTCCTTAAGTTATGTCATCTGGATATGAAAATAAATATAAACTGCTTTCCCTTTGGTTGGGCAGAATTCTAGCTCTGCCACTTTCTGGTTAAGGCTTGGCTTTCTCACCTGTGAAATGGGGCTAGTAATGATGTCTAACTTAGGGAGTTATCAAAGAGCTTAAATCACATATAATAAAAATAACTTGGCAGGATGCCGGCTATTTATAAATGGGAGTTTAGTTATCAGTGGTTGAAGATATGGGTTGGAATCTTGGCTCCTCTCATTTCTAGCTTTGGGACCTTGGGCAACTTATTTGACCTCTCTGATCCTCAATTTCCTCATCTATAGAATAGGGTTAATAATAATATACCTATTCTTGCAGGGTTTCCCTGTAAAATGAAATCATGGATATGAAAACATTTTGTAAATTTTAACTGTGCTATTCAAATATTAGTTGTTATAACTCAAAAGGTACCTGTTTCTCCAAATGGATTTTTGAGAACTATTCCTGAAAAATGACTTGGTTGAATTCAACCTATTTTTAATACTTACGAAAACAACAATATAAGATAAAAGAAGGTTCCATAAATGCCCCAGGCTTTTCTGTAAGCAGCTCTATAAGGCATTCCCATGAATAACACGTTTCATAGGCAGCTTGTTTTGCAGTTGGTACTTCCAAATGTATCTCACTGAATCTCCGCAGAGTGGGGCTGGTTAATAGACAAGGACATGTGAGGCTTAAAGAATGAAACTCACTACTTAAAGGACATAAACTAGTGAGTGGAAGTTTGTGGGTGTTTGCCTTTGGAGCTGTGTGTGGGTGTCTGAGTGCAGACATGTGTCTGAGCCTGCTTTTTTATGCATTTGTTGTCCATAACTCATGGCACACACCCACAGGGGGTGCATGTTTGTCTGTATCCCTTGGATAGAGTGTCGTTTCTTGGGAGAGGAGAAGGTAATCATATCTGAGGTTTTTTACAAATCGTCAGCAAAAACCTTTTCCTCTTCCTTTTTAGTGTTGCCTTACATTCTCGAGGCAGTTTCCACAAGAGGGCCAGGGCCCTGCCTGGAGAATATCCTTGATTTTTATCTCCACTCCCTGTTTAGGAAACAACAGCTCTGCAGTCCCCACAGCCTTCTGGGAATCACTTCCTCTTTCTTCCCCGCCTGCTAGCTTTCTTGAATTCGCCTTGGCAACATTCAAAAAAGAACTGGTTTAGCAACAGCATGTGAACCAATGAAATGTGAGCATGGGAACGGCTTCTAGACCAATGGGAACCCCACATAACCAGCAAGCTGGCTTGGGACAGAAAATAATAACCTGGAGTTTGCAGAGCAGCCTCTGGGTGGCAGTCGATCAGCTGTATTGGATACGGCGCCTCAGCTCGAAAGCCTCTACTTTGTTTTTGCTTTTTTTTTTTTTTCTTGGATATAAAACATTCACCAACTATAAGAATTGTACTGTTCAAGACTTGTGGGTGTGAGTTCTATGCATAATGTGGTAGACATGGCCGGGAGGGTGAACTGTTGGGTTCCATCCCTGCCTTACACAGCCAGCCCCATGACCCCATCACCGCATCGTGCCTCCTGTGTTCTTTGTTGGTTTTGTCACAGCCAGTGCTGGCCCAGTGGCCTTGGGCCTGGAGATCTTTCGTGATTTTGCCTGCTCAGCCAGTCAGGTTGAGAAGCTGGGGATATCACATTCTCCTTCATGTAACCATCACCTACTGTGCTGAGTGGTGAATGAGATGGGGCTGGCTTTCTGCCACTAGTGAATGGGAGGGAAGGGATGAGCCATCAACAGATCAATGCCTATCATTACCCCCACATTCTCAGGTGCCATACACTGAGACCATTCCCTGCCTTGTCAGTTATGCTGCACATGTCTGAACAGTAATGTCTGACTAGCAAATGATTTGAGGATAATTCTATTAGGCAGTTTAGCCTTCTTAATCTTGAAGTCAGTGGCAGACTTGGGCAGCGGCTGAATAGGTCCATAGCAAAAATAGCAAATCCATATTTCCAGTGGTTTAGACATCCTTCTTTTGCACTTTGAGATGATATTGCTTTGAACACCACTCAGTCAAGTTTGGGTCCTTCAGATATTCATAGTTCTCTGCAATGTATCCACTTCTGCCTAACTTACTCCTCTCATTCTTTAAGAATCAGTTAAGGCTTAGTATCTTCAGAAAGTATCCTTTGATTCTCACTGTTCTCCTCCCCTCCAGCTCCCTAGTGCCCCTGTTCTTGCACTTCTTGTGTTGTTTTCTAAATGTGTCTTTCTTTGTGAGTTTCCTCTAAGCGTCATGGAGCTTCCTGAGGACAAGGTGTGTCCTTGGTATCTCCATCCCTTAGCATAGTGTTGGCATAGGTGCTCAATAAGCATTTTTAGAAGAAAGGAAGCATGCAAGGAAAGAGCTCTTGTTCTTTGAGAAACAGAGACTCAGAGGTACCTGATCTTGGGCTGAAGCAGTGCCTGGGAGTAGGGCACTAGCTGCTGAAGGCAGCATCTAGCTGTTTAAGACCCTGCATCTAGCTGTTTAAGACCATGAGTCATGGCTCCAGAGCAAAGCCCAAGCCTGAAAGATAATCTCACTATGGGCTCATCCCGTGATGAGTTCATCTCAGTCACATGGTTTCCTTTATGATTGTGTGTTTTAGGAAGAGCTGAGGAGCAAATCCAAGATCTGTGCCAATGTGTTTTGTGGAGCTGGCCGGGAATGCGCAGTCACAGAGAAAGGAGAGCCCACCTGTCTCTGCATCGAGGTAAGTCCTGATGTCAGGAGCCACAGGACAGTGGCCAAGGCCAGTATGGCTACCTTGCGGAGCCACCCGTCAGCAGGCAGTGCCAGTGATTTCATTCTCTTTATAAAAGCATACCTCATCCCTCTGAAAAGTGTGGATTTTTATTCTAGATTCCTGATTTTTAATGCATGCTTTTTCTTTTTTAAAAAAATATTTAGCTTTATATGATTTTTTAATTAAAAAATAAGAATTGCTTTATATAAGTGAAATTGTACAGACATTTACAGAGACATAAAATTATCATCTTCCCCCATAATCCTTCAATCCCGTTAGTTTGAAGTAACCAGTGTTATTTTCTAAAATAAAAATCAGTTTTTATTTTCTATGTTACTATAAGCATGAGGGTTTGTATGCTCCTGTAGACATAATGGTTCCCCCTATTTTATGCAAAAATAGCATTATGATATAGATATATACAGTTTATCTTGTTTACTCATTAATTCATCATGGACAACACTCTAGATCAGCACATACAGTTTTAACTCATTTAACTCACTGTAGCAGCATGATATTTAGTAATATAAAGTAACTAGATTTATTCAATCGTTTTCCCATAGATGGACATTCAATTGGTTCTATGAGTTGTTTACCACTATAACCAATAACATCCTTATGCAAATACCCTTACATGCTACTGCCTTTATTTCTCTACCATTGATTGACACCAGGGCTTACCAGGTCAGAGAATATGCAAATTTTTAAAAACACTAGATGAGATGCAAGGTTTTTAAAAAAATGTTTAAAAAACAAAGAGAGCCTTTGATAAATACTTCTTTTATAGGCTGGATTCTGACAAGTTCTGCCACTAAAGTGAACATAAATACCCTGGACATAGGCACTTATTTTCTCTTTTCTGTCAGACCAACCCATAACCTGGAAACACGTATTTCTGCAAATTAAATACAGCCAATTTAGTCCCCAGGTTAAGGATCCTAATTTGTTGCCCCAGAAAGGAAGTTTTCTAACTTGGAAACCTGAAAACCAGATTCTGAGGGGGATCCATTAGCCCTGAAAGGTCCTCACTAGCAGTGCACCAGGCCACAGTATGGTGGCATAAGCCTGGACTTAGGATCTGGAAACCTGAGGTCTGGTTTCAGCTAACCCACATCTAGTACAACTTTGAGCAAACTAATTCCCAACAGATGCTGTGAATACAGAGCCCACATTTGGTTTTGCCCATTGTCCAGCCCATAGTGAGCACTCCATAATAAATATTGGTTCAGTGAAATGCGTATTTTTGGTATCCTCAACTAAAATTGGAGAGGTTGGGCTGCCATCCATTTCCCATTCTTTGAGCTTCTTTTTACCATCTGCTCTTTCTTGTTTTGGTTCTTCTTTATTGGATCTGAGCTAAACTTGTTTCCCGCTGCTTCCTTTTAAAAACCATAAAAGTCCAATGAAAAACAAAACCAAAAAAAAAAAAATGTCCAATGAAACTGAGTTTGCCTGTGATTTGGGTACCTTCAGCAGCCAAAGCATAAACTAGTTGCCAAATGAACTTTGTTCCATTTCCCTGTCCTTAATGATTACCTTTGGTACTTAACAAAGACCCAGGCAACCCTACTTCTACCTTCACAACAAAGGCTTGAGATTAGGAGGAAACCAAAGTGGCCCCCAAATATATACAAAGCAAGTGATCCTTATAGTTAGACTATGGAAAAATTGGAGTGAGAGAGAGTGTGTGTGTGTGTGTGTGTGTGTGTGTGTGTGTGCGCGCATGCATGCCTATGCCTGCCTGCCTATCAGTCTCTCCACACTCCCAGCTTTCAGCTCTGGCTGTTTTGTGTCATTGAATGTTGGAATATTAAGGGAGCTTAGATCTTCTGAAACATTAAATGACTTTTCCGAAAGTGACAGATAATTCAAATTCCTGACTTTTAATAAAATGCCCTTTCTGCTAATTTGATGTGGTTAGTGGGATGTCATTGTTTGTTCATGCTGCTACAACAAAATATCTGAGATTGGGCAATTAATAAACGATATGAATTTAATTCTCACAGTCGTGGAGACTGGGAAGTCCAAGATTGAGGTGCAAGCAGATTTGATGTCTGGTGAGGGCCTGAGGTCTGCTTCCAAGATGGCGCCCTGATTGTGGCATCTTCACATGGCAGAAGGCAGAAGGCCAAAAGGGTCAAATGCTGTAGGAAGACTGTTTTATTCACTTCTTAACCTCATCCACAAGGGAAAATCCCTCATGACCTAATTAATCACCTCCTAAAGGTCTCCCCTCTTGATACTTTTGCATTGGGGATTAAGTATCAACATGAATTTTGGAGGGATCACAAACATTCAAACCTTAGGGTGTCTCTTTCTTCACTGAATAGAAGAGATGACCCTGGCCCGGGATAGGGATGAAGGGCCATAGGCAACTGAGGCAGGGTCAGGTTGGGTAGGGTCACTCATGGCCAGAAGTGTGACTCCCTGTGCCCTGGTGGTGTAGAGGCACCATTTCTGCTGGTGGAGAGTCCCCTTACAAAATGGCTGTGTGTGTGTGTGTGTGTGTGCGTATCTATATCCATAACTGCACATTCTCCTTTGGGTATGTTTCAGCAATGCAAACCTCACAAGAGGCCTGTGTGTGGCAGTAACGGCAAGACCTACCTCAACCACTGTGAACTTCATCGAGACGCCTGCCTTACTGGATCCAAAATCCAGGTTGATTACGATGGACACTGCAAAGGTAAGGTGTGCTCTCACCACTGCAAGGTAGCTTCAGCCATGGGGAGCCGAGGAACAGAGCAGTGTGACCTGGCTGACCACATGGCCTTTCTGTCATGACCACAGCCTCTCAAAGCTGTGGAAACCACCCGGCTGGTTGGTGATGCATCCTCTTGCCACTCATGAGCCTGCTGGATTTGCCCTGGACGGCCCAGGCTGCTGCCTAGGGTTTGCCATATCAGATCCCCAGGGGAGTTTTCAGCACTGTCTGCAGCTGGATAGTAGATAAGGAGGACCCCATCAGTAATAAGTAATAATAAGGAAGTTCCTTAAATTAATTATGTACCTTTTTGGAAAGTAGGTAAGTTTCACTTCCCCCATGCTTTTTAATTTGGGCACCTTTCAACCGTAGTAGTATTGTTTCCCCTATTTTGCACTGAAACCATTGTCATTAGAATAAGATGGAAGAAGTCCCACATTTGTTGCTAATTAGATACCAGCCCCTTTCAGCCTTGACCTTCCTTGAAGAAACAAGAAGCTGTTTCCCAGGTAATAGTCTCCACTCCATTCCCTGTTGAGAATGATTCTCCATATGAATTCTCAAAATCCCAGTAACCCCCCCTCAGTGCAGCAGGCCAGTGTGAGGCCAGAAGGATAATTCAGTGGCCCTAAATTACCAGACAAAGCAGGAAACAGAAGATCCCTGTACCTGGGCCCTAGAAGAAGGAAAGGAAAGGAGTCAAGACAAAATGATGAAAAGGTTACAGGTAGTCTTCTATATGTGGAGCAGTTGTAATCCTAGAAATACAGAAAAAATTGTTTTTCTCCACTTTGCATTACACTTTTTTTTTTTTGTCTTGCAGAAAAGAAATCCGTAAGTCCATCTGCTAGCCCAGGTGAGTGCCCATTTTTTCTACTGTTTGCATCTCAGGGAGGACATTTTTTTCATGATAGGAATTTTGTGTTCCACAATCTCTGCCAAGTTCATAAAATCTTCTATGCATCAGAACTTGTGTTCCCAGAACTGTCCACTTCTCAACGCAGCTCAGAAAAGCTGCAAAGCTACATTTGTGTGTGTGTGCTTGCCAGTTGAAGCAGCTGGTTGGGTCAGAATGTTGACCATGTTTTTCCATTTTTCCTGAGTAGTAATTGAACTGCATGAACAGGAAAGCCACTGAGTTCTTTTTTCAACATCCTGTAAGACATGCTCATGTCATGAGACTAGCAAATAGAAGGCACAACTCTTTTGGAAAGGGGATAATTAAAAATACCAGTAAGACTTCTGTGGTTTTCTGTTAGTGATCACTAAAATTTTATCATGATTTATAATTACAGAGCTTTTTCACATATACTTTCCTTGGATTCTCACAATAGCCTTTGTGAGGTAGATCTTACTGTAATTACCTTATAGATGAGGACATTGAGGCTCAAAGAGGCTAAGTGAGGTTCCTAAATCACACAGCTAGGAATTGGCAGACTGGGGAAGAACTCCCGGATTTTCATTCCCCTGGCCCAGTGCCCTTTTCACCACAACATGTGTTGTCTTCCAGGAATTCTCTTCTGCCAAAGCTTTCTCTCCTTTGCTTCCCCATCCACCTGCCTCTCAGCACACCCTGTTATTTCCAGTGGACAGCAGCTGTCCAGAGCAGGCTTCAACATGGCCCTCGCTGGGCTTCACATTCTGTTGTTCATAATAAAGGATGATGCAGGTGGTATACAGTTTTAGGTGGGGGAGAGTTTGGATGGACCTAGTTGGTGAGAAAGGGAGAAACTGGAGAGAATCAGAAACCTAGTGGCATAAAAAACTATAATGTTCTCATTTATTCATGTATTATTTCAGCTCATCTTTGAGTCAAGAGAGCTGCTTTATTAATTGATTTCCCTTTATGAAAGTGTCCTCTATTTTTCTGCTCTAGTTATTTCTCACATAAACTGTGAAACCTCTCTGTTTCAATAGTCTAAATCTTTACAAATATTTTAGAGATGGGAGCTTGAATCCTGGGCTAGGCATTTTCCAGTTGTGTACCCTGGATGTACTAATCCTATCTCCCTGGGGTGCCCAGATGACATTGCAGAACCCTGGGCACCGAGCCTCCCACACAGTGGGTGCCATATGTCATTGGGGTCCACCCCTGACTGCTCAGCTGACATCCTCCACCTTCCTGCAGTTGTTTGCTATCAGTCCAACCGTGATGAGCTCCGACGTCGCATCATCCAGTGGCTGGAAGCTGAGATCATTCCTGATGGCTGGTTCTCTAAAGGCAGCAACTACAGTGAAATCCTAGACAAGTATTTTAAGGTAATCCGGAGGTGGGAGGAAGACTATTCAGGCCCATAGAAAGGGAAGCTTCCTCCTCCCATTGCCCGGTCACATCTTCCCAGACCACAGGAAATGTAAACCTGCATAGACTCCCCGAGTTTCCTCATCATAGATCATTCATGAATCTGTGAAAGTTGCCTTCTAACCAGCTTGATCAGTGGGAGTAAGCAGTGGAGTCTTTAGGATCTAACACACATGTACTGCTGCCTTCAGGCAGTTAAAGCCACAAAGGTCTTGGAGAATCTGTCAGTTAAGGCCAAGCTCTGTCCTCTACTCCCCATGACACCTTGGTGCTGACTGTTAATACAAAATACCTTCTGATAGCACCCAGACCCAGACCACTTCAGCTTCTTTCCTGCCTAGTTTAACATTTATCTTAAGTCATTAACATGATTGCCCATGGCCTGGAGAGATTCTTCCTGAACTCAGATATTGCTGTTTCCAATCATTAGTTGAAGAGACAGAGTGTTCCACTTGGGAACAGAAGAGATGCTATTTTCACAAAGGGAAATGAAGCGGGATATAATATTTAACAATGGCTCAGGCTATTATGGCATGCAGATCTTTCACAGAGCTTGAGAGAAGAAGCAATTAAGGGCATTAGAGTTTTCTTTCCTCTATGGCAGATATTAAATCTCTGGATTCCAGGTTTTTGAGATCATACCCAGATGAAGATGCACAGTCTTTCTTGCTCTGTCCTCTGTGGGAATGTCCTCAACCATTCCCACATTATAGAGCCCTTGGGGCAAGAATGGTTCCTCTTCTGCAGAAAAACACATCATAGCACTTAGCCAGGGGAGTTGGACAGGAACTGAAAGTAATGTAAAGAAAGTGATTGTTCAAAAGCTGAGTGAGTGCAGGGCCTGTTGTGAGCAGTAGTGACTTTGCCCTGCGATTACAGCGTGGGAGGTGTGGGGCCTAGGACATGTCTACCTAGGGGCCACCTGGGACCTTGTAACCATCTTTTAGTGGTCCTTCAATGGCACTCTGCCTCAGGCATCACTGACACCTGCTGTTAGATTTGATTACCAAGAACCTAGAACACATCTCCATCTCCTCCAGCAATAACTCACTTTTGCAGGCTCCCTTCTGAAAGCTGTAAGGCCCCTTGAGAAAGTACCTCTTCTCTAGGGCATTCTCACACCCAAGCATCTAAGAAAACTTGATTATGACTGACAGACACAAAATGCCCTCTTCCCAGACACTCTGGCAGTATCTTTCAGGAGAAAACAGGTTTCATTTTCACTTTTTGATGATTATCAGAGTCTTATGTGCTGCTGTCTTCAAAAGGAAACTGCCTCCTCCTAGGTCAGCAGCTGCCTGCTGGTGAAAGATGACATCTCAAAGAGACTGTTCTGAACCAATGAATTGTTCCCCAGCCTAGCTGGCATTTCCTACATCTAAATTAGTCAAAAATCAATTTGCATTAGAATTTGAATAAGGCCAAAATCTGACTTTCACCCTAACCAGTGATTTAGTCACTATTTCTGTGGAAGTGTAACAAAATGAAGAAAGACCCAGGTAGAAAGGGCCTTCCATGCTCTTGGAATTTGGAACCTAATCCATTCCTAATTTCATCTGGGTAGGAGCTCAATCCCTGTGGCTCCTGATGGGCAGGACTGACACTTGAGCCAGCCTTCTTATCTCCTTTACCCTGGCATCACAGCCCACACAGTCCCAGCTGCTGTGCACAAGCAGGGGCATGGCTCAGCCCATCTCCTCTGAACAGTCTCTAACTTACACTGATGAGCCCCAAGCACAGATCTCATGACACACATCTTTCTGCTTTACCACAACCCTATCGTTAGATAGAAGAAAAGTTGTTATCTCAAATGCAGGTTGAGCATTCCTAATCTAAAAATTTGAAATCTGAAACTTTTTGAGCACCAACATGATGCCGTGAAAAATTTCACACCTGAATTCATATGATGGGTGGCATTCAAAACATAGTCAAAACTTTGTTTCATGCACAAAATTATTTAAACTATTGTATAAAATTGCTTTCAGGCTATATGTGTAAGGTATAGGGGAAACAGGAATGAATTTCGTGTTTACATTTTTATCCCATCCCCAAGGTATCTCATTATCCATATGTAGACTTTCTAAAATATGAAAACTTCCAGTCCCAAGCATTTTGATACTCAACCTGTATAGAACTGGGGAAACAGGCATAAAGAGATACTATGTCTTTGTTATTGACTGGCTGAAAAGAGGCTGAGTGAATTAGGTTGGTTCGTGGTCCATGATTAGGACCTCACAGACAGAACCCCCAGGCATTCCAGGCTATTTCTGAGACAGACACCAGAATTCTGTGTTCTTGTGGATTCTATATATAGCTCCAGCCTGGGGAGGCCCAACTGGGCCCTTATGAGATGAGAATGCACATGGGCTGGACCTTCCCCCGGCTGCAGGCCTGAGTCTAGTCCTACTGAATTTGAAGTGTATATACACAGCACTGCCTTTTGAGAGCTGCCTGGGCTGTGGTTGCCAGGTTCATGATGCCCACTTGGGGCCCTGTGGCACCAGGTCTGCAGCCAGTGCTAGACCATTCCCCTCTCTACATTCATTCCATCATCAGGCCCTGATGACATTGGGGTCTTTGAGGGTTGCTCCCGTCTGCCCAGCACATGTAACATTTGAACTCAAGAAAGTCCTGTGCTACCAACAGTGCCTGCCGCCCCCCCGCAGCCAAGCCTATTTAATTTTTCATTAATTAATCAAGATCTCACAAGGCAAACACTTAGGGAAGTCTCCTCAGAGAAAATGTGTAGTGAATAAAGGACATCAGAGACCTGCTCCTGGGAATTAGGACAAGAATGGTAGTATATACTAAGCAAGGGCCTAATAGTTGTTTCATGCACACCTTCATTATACACATTATACAACATTAGAGTGGAACACATGTGACACATGACAGTCAGGAGAGGAGAGTTATTAGCTATACCTTTCCCCTCTGTCTAGATATCTGGAGAGAGATTTCTTCCAGAATCCCTTGTACCATCTGGGAAAGCCATCTTGAAACATGGGGAAGCTGATCCTTTGCCAGGACAGCAACATGAGATAGTCTAGGGAAAGGACTTAGGATGGAGGGGGGAAGATGCTATTGAAACTTGTTAGGAGAGCAGCATTATGCAACTTGGAATTTGATCAGCCTTGATATCGACACCTTCCTCCTACAGCTAGGGCCTGGGTGTCTTGAATGGTCCCAGATGGCTGAGGTCTCAGTTTAGCATCTCGCCATAGAGAACAGTGTGTGAGCTCACCACACCCCTCACTTTGTGCTCGTGGGATGCCAGCTGGGTCATGAGGACAGCCTGAGCTGGGTGATCTGAGGACCTGTACACATGTCTGCAGTGGGGCCCACAGGGCAGAGCAGCGAGAACTTTGTGTGATGACTCCTGTCTGTAGCTTATTGCTGTGAGGCCTTTGCCTGAGCTCTCACTGATGTAATCAGTTATGGGCACCAATGTGAAAGTTAAGCACTGATAACAGGACAGGGAGGCTGGAATCCAGCAACAAGAAATGATCCTATAATTCCAAAGTGAGCTCAGAGGCGGTTATCTGCATTGCTCTTCCTGAGCAGCTTGATTAGAAACACATTCTGAGCCCTGCTACAGAGATTCTGATTCACAGCTTATAACTTTAAACTCTTGTTACATGTTCATCAGGGTTTGAGAACACGATGTGGAGGTTGGTCTGAAACCAAAGGTATAGTAAAAAGTGTCTGCAGGGCAGTGTCAGAGATGGGGCCACACAGCAGGTTTAGGGACCCCAGAGGCCTCTGTTCAGGTTGCCTCCTCTGCCCAGGCACTTTTCCTCTCATGTTGAGCACGGGTACCTTCTCTGTGTGTCCCAGGGATTTGAACGTTTGTTGCTGTGGCCTTCTAAGGCCAGGACAGGGTTGGAATGTATCAAGAACAAGATGAATCAGAGGCAGATCAGTTGAGTGGAGCAATGATAGAACAGGATTTCTACAAAACATTCCTGAATGATGTGTTCCTGCCCATTCTAGAACTTTGATAATGGTGACTCTCGCCTGGACTCTAGCGAATTCCTGAAGTTTGTGGAACAGAATGAAACTGCCATCAATATCACCACGTATCCAGACCAGGAGAACAACAAACTGCTTAGGTGAGATGAGTGAGGGGTCAGAGAATGATCCACAAGGGAAGACTGTCTAGGAGAGGGGACTTAAACCCTTTCCCACTCGCAGAATAGCTACCAGTGAGAGAATGTCATGTAAAAAGCAAAATGGGAATTGCGTTCTGTTCTATTCTGTGAACAGTATGAACTAGTATATTGAGTACCAGTGATATCTAATGAAATAGTTACTGTTTTTGGTGAGAACTTGCAAGGAATAGAAGAATGTAATTTTAAAATAAATTGCCAAGGGCACATCAGCGCAAGTTGTTTCCAAATGTGTGGTGGGTGATATTTTACTGACTAATTTTCTGAAGGAATTACATTAGTGTAGTATTTAACAGTAGGTTTAAAACAGGTTTGTTCTGATTTTTAGGATAATTAGTGCTATTTCATGCCAATTGCCCTAACTCTTAAAAATGTATGCCCCTCTACTTTTCTGCTATTATTCCAGAATAAATATTAATAAAAACTAATCACCATTAATAAATATTAATAAAAACCACACTAAACTTTTGATGTAGTTTTAGGACATTGGTAAGAATTAAAAATAGGAAAAGCATCTCTTTTAGAAAAAAAAAAAAGGAAAAGCATCTCTTTTCTTCAAAAGAAGTACAATGCACAGTTTGTAAAAGGATTCTTCTTTAATAATAGTCTGTGACCTTAAAGTATAGGTTCTGTAAATCCTTCGAATTTTGATAATCTGAAATTAGATAATGTTTTACAATTTCAATGTGTGTTCCTCATGATATCCCAGTGAAGGAGGGCTTCTCGTCCTCCTTTTGTGATTGGGAAGACAGGCTCAGAAAAGTTGAATAACTAGCTCAAGTCCATTTGAGTAGTAAGTGATGGAGCGAGGGCTCAAATCCAGTCCAAGAAAGAAGTGATAGAACTGAGTTCTGAAAGCTTTTCGGAAAATCTCTTTCTAGAATGATGATAATGGTGATTCTTGCTTGAACTTCATATTCTTTCAAATCTCATATTCCTTTCATGTCATCTGTCATATCTCTTCTGTTTTGATTTTCCTAGTTTGGTTGACTTGGCTTATATACCATGGGGAAAGGCAATTGCTAGTGGAAGGTGTGCAGGCAGTGAAAACATTTGTCAATCAAAGCTGACAAAACCATTCATGAAACTTTAGTCATCTTAAGGGGACATTTGAGTAGCCTGAGTGATCTGACATTCAGTATAACAAACTAAAGGTCAGATGGCTGCATTTGTCAGGATGGATAATAGTTGTGTTGAGTCAGTATAGAGAGAGGCTGTTTCAGTTAGCAGTCATCTTCTTGGCCTCCTCTGGAGGCCCTGGATGTATGTAGTCCTGATGTGTACTTTCTTTCTTCTGAGCAAAGCTGAAGTCTTGCTAACACATTTCTCCTGTGTTTTGTTTCAGAGGACTCTGTGTCGATGCTCTCATTGAACTGTCTGATGAAAATGCTGATTGGAAACTCAGCTTCCAAGAATTTCTCAAGTGTCTCAACCCATCTTTCAACCCTCCTGAGAAGAGTATGCCTAACCTAAGAAATAGAGAGCTGTAGGGAATGGAGGCATTTTGTGGGAGCCAAGATAGAGAGGATTGGTGGAACTCTCCAGAGGTAGCTGAGAAAATCCCCTTCCATGATTCCAGACTGGGTTCCAGCCCATCATCCCCATGGTGAAGTCAGGACCCCAAATTCTTTAGGTTGATGGTGAAATTTGCTCAGATATGGTGCTTCTAAGGGACAGGCATGTCCTGTCGGGGAAAATGGGTAAGATGCACAGACCGTGGCAAAGATGCCCTGTTCCAGCCTCACAACTAAAAACTGTTGCCCCATATTTCTGGCCCAACAGAGTGTGCCCTGGAGGATGAAATGTATGCAGATGGAGCTGAAACCGAGGTGGACTGTAACCGCTGTGTCTGTGCCTGTGGAAACTGGGTCTGTACAGCCATGACCTGTGATGGTGAGCTGTGCCTCAGGCAGAAAGAAAAAACAGCAAGGAGAGAGCTTCATGAAATCCGCATGAGAAGTTGGGGTGGGATTGATGGAGAAGAGGGTGGCTGGGAGCAAGGAACCCAAGAAGCAACTGGCAGACCCATACCTGTAAGGTTGGAGCCCCAGTAGATAGCTTTGAGGGCAGAGCACTTATCCCATAGGCATTCAGTTTGAAAATCACTCCAGAGGCTAGGAATAAGAGAGGACCAAGACCCAGGGCAAAAGTAAATGATAATGTGAGATTGGAACAGTAACAATGAAATCAGATACTTGCACAGTAAGAACCATGTGCCAGGCTTTCTTCTAAGCACTTTACCCATTAACCCACTTGATCGTTTTAACACATTAGGAAATACTTAGTAAAAGACTCTGGTGATTGGAAGACAAAATGACTTCTCCTTGCCATACCCAGGCAGAAAAAGAAAAAATGTTTGTAGACCCTCTTTCAACTAACAGAAATGTGTAATCTTTTTTAAAAAGAGAGAGAGAAAGTTGAGCTAGTTGAGCTGTGTGCAGGGTGGCCTGGGGAGACAGAAATCTGAGAGTTTGGGGGGCAGTGTGAGGCTACAGGGTATGTTAGAACCACTAGGGTCCCATCTGGGTTCTGGGCTACAATGATGCCAAAGATCAAGAGGGACTCTTAAATCAAAGCTGAGCCCTAGCACAGAACGAGGGACATTCAGAGTGGAGGCAAGACATAAGAAGGGTGTTGAAGCCAGGTCTGAAAGGGAGAGTTGCCTTAAGGAAAAAAGATCAGTTAGAACCAGGCCCAAAAGTTATACCAGCTAGGGTGAACCTAAAGTTATATCGGCCAGGTGCAGTGGCTTATGGCTATCATCCCAGCACTTTGGGAGGCCAAGGTGGGAAGATTGCTTGATCTCAGGAGTTCAAGACCACACTTGCCAGCATAGCGAGACCATGTCTCTACAAAAATTTGAAAATTAGCCAGGCGTGATGGCACATGCCTGTAGTCCCAGCTACTTGGGGGGCTGAAGTGGGAGGATCACTTGAGCCTGGGAAGTTGAGGCTACAGTGAGCCACAGTTGCGCCACTGCACTCCAGCCTGGATGACAGAGCAAGACCCTGTCTTTAAAAAAAAAAGAATATTTTAAGAAGTTAACTGAGTCAAGGAAGAGCTGGCTGGAGCCTAGAATTATGTTCAGGAAGATCAGGTTAAATGGTAACCAGAAAACAGGTCAGAGACCCAGGAAGAGGCTCTTCCAGACAAGGATCCTAGCAAACACCAACAGTATGAATGGAACCTGATACTATCTAAGGGATCTCTGGTCTACCACTGCCCAGGACCAAGTCTGTTTTCAGTGTGGAAAGACAGGAAACCAATGTAACTCCAGGGACAGGTGAAATAACAGGAAGAGGCTGTTTAGAGACTAGAAATTTCTACAAGTTCCTAGAAGTCAAGACCAAGTTACTTCCGAAGCCAACAAAGAACTTCTGAAAATGGTCAGTGGCCTAGCCTGCCTCAACCAAGAAGCATCCTATACTTGTTTTCCCGAAACTCCCTTCAGTACCTGTCTGCTTCTAACTACTGCTATTCTGGCTTTGTAAAGGTAGCCCTCCATTTCTAAAGTGCAGGCAGTTAGTGTGTAGCTGGCTTACAGAATACAAATAAGCATGGTCATCTGGATAATAATCTCTATCATATGCATCAGACAAAATTCAAATGAACGGCTCCATGGGACATTGCCCATTTCCACAGCCACACAGCTATGGGCTGCTCATCCTTCCTCTCTGGATGGCCAAGTCTAGAACTCTATGTGGGTATAACATGGAGCATTCCAGATGGTGGTGCCCCAGGGGCCTGACCGTGGTGGTACCCCAGAAGCCTGATGTGTAGGTCATGGATCTGAGAGGAGTTTGTGTAGCCAGCATTCCAGGGCATTTTCAGGTTAGTACCAGAGTTAGCAGTCTGCTCTTAGATCACAAATCAGAATGGGACAAGCAAGAAGGGGCATGAAGATGTGAAACCAGGTGGAGCCAGAGCCAAGGGAAACTGCTACAAGGGAAAGTTGATAGCAATGTTTGGAAGATATGTCCTAGCAGTGTTTCCTAATGGTCAACATTATAATTGGTAAGCATAGAGATTCCATTCTAAACCTAGCGAATCAGCATTTGCAAAAGAGCAGCTTGGAAACCTGTGTAGTTTTTGTTTTTATCACTGTGGTGAGTTTGGGAAACATTGCTAGAAGAAATGATTGTCAACCCTGGCTGCACATTAGAACCAACCAGAAAGACTTGTAAAAAAAATATTGGTGTCCAGGTCCCACCTCAGATAATTAAATCAGAATATCTGAAGGTGGAACATAGATAGTTATCTTTTCAAATGTACTCCAGGACAATCTGAAGGTATGTGAACGGCTGAGAGTTACTGTCTCAGAGGAATCTCCTGTATCAAGACCAGGTTTTCACCATATATTTTTGCAGGGCCAGCCTCTGGCAGGGATGTGCTAAGCAGTTAAAGGAATAAAGACCAGAGAGGAGTGTGGGTAGATTGCTTTGTTACAGGATGTTACATTCGAGGTACCAGTTGCACAAGGCCCCTTCATGCCTTCATACTCAGAAAATGTGTTTAATTCACCTCTCCTTCCACAGGTTAAATGGGAGATGAATTGAGAGCCTCTAGGTAGATCTTGGTGGGATTCCTCACTGGCTTACAACAGCTGCCACTACTCTGAGCTTTGATTCTTCTTGCAGGAAAGAATCAGAAGGGGGCACAGACCCAGACAGAGGAGGAGATGGCCAGATACATCCAGGAGCTCCAAAAGCATCAGGTGAGTGGCGGCCTCCATGCTGGTTCAGGTGTTGCTGTTGCCACCCGACCCTATACCACTCAAACACTGCCCAGTGCCCCCTGAGACCAAGGAGACACACTCTGTTCAATACAGTAGATCCTGAGTGATACCCCATCACCTGTACTATAAAACTGATACAGACACTTCCATGATAAAACAGGTCCCAGTAGATCTCAACAGGTATAGGTTACATCTCGGTGAGTGGCTGCATAAGGCAAAATCAGGCAGGTGGTGATTTGCAAATGAGGTGGAAGTGATTTGCCAATGAGCATGGTTTAAGAAAGTGTGTATCTTGTCATGAACAGTGTCCAGATGCAAAGACTGTGAGCTCTCGAAAGCAGGCTCTGTAACTTGCTCACCATTGTACCGTGGCAGCTCTCACAGGGCATGGTATTTAGACAGCACTCAGTGAGCATGAAAGCAGTGAATTTGGGCCACAGCAGAAAGGATTTACGTTAAACGTCAGTCTGACTAGAAAATAGACTAGAGTTGACGGAGACTCCTTCGCAGAGACTCAAGAAGATAATAAATAAGAATTTTGTTCAGGTTCTATGTTATTAAGTTAAAGGCTTCCGTGGTGGAAGCGTTCTTAGCAGAATAGTGATCCTCTGACATATTATTGAACTGCTGGGCTCCTGGGCCCATCCTTCTACTGGCTTATCATGTAGTCTTCACAGAGGATATTGCACCTTCCATTACCTGTCTGTAGACCAAACGTTGTAGTACTAGCCTTCTCTCTGACATAGAAGCTTTTAAGGAATATAATGGTCACAAGAACTAAACTATTGATGTGAAATATTTCACATGAGTAAACAGAACTATTACTATTAATAGTATGATCATTCTCAATGTACATTTTGTCATCATTGTCACTGATAGTATAGAAATCTCATGTCAGTTGTTTAAGCAGATGCAAAAGCTTCTAGTCTTTTGCTTTTTCAAAGTTCACCAGTCTTGAGTCTCAAAATGAGTTCAATCCCATCAAAGAGAAAATAAAAAAAAATAGGAAATACTTTCATCTAGGATAGAGCAGTTCTCAGACAGTAGGAAGTGAATTATAATAGCTGATATGTTTAAGTGTCTGTTTGATGTGAGTCCTCTCAGAGCAGGTGCCAAGGCAAGGATGCAAGTACACACAGTTTATTTGGGAGGCAATCACAGGAAGCACCAGAGGGAGATTTGGGAAACGAGTCCAGGAAGGGAAGGAAGAAATGAAGAGTGGGTATTCAGGCCTGTTATCACTGTGAACAAGTGGCACTTAATCCTGTTGGGGGTCTCTGGAATGGAGTAACAGTGCCTGAGTGAGGATGAAGCTGGGCTGTTTCTACAAGAGCTCCCAATAGCCATTGGCTGAGGGCTGCTACTGGGAAACATTAATTCCCTGGCGTTTGTGACCTACCAGTGTGTGTGGACAGAGTGGGTTCCAGCAGCTAGAGAAAGCCCTCAGGCAGAGACACAGACGCTGGCAGTATGTAGGAAGTCACACCAGTGTACACCCAAACACAGGGCTATGGCTGGAACACCATCGGTGTCTGCTAGATACCAGGCACTGTTTTCAGGTTTTACAAAATTTATTTCTTTAGTTGAGATATGATTCACATACCAGAAATTCACCCCTTTAAAGTATATTCCTAAGATTGTCAGTTATCTCACTACAATCTTAATCCCAGAACATTTTCATTATCCCAGAAAGAAATCCCATACCCATTAGAAGTCACCTTCCACTCTCTTCTTCCTCCAGCCCTTTGCAAGCACTAGTCTACTTTCTGACTATAGATTTGCCTGTTCTGGGCATATTACAGTGGTATCATACAACAGTATAGCCTTTTCTGTCTTTCACTTAGCATAATGTTTTCAAGGTTCATTCGTACAGCATGAATCAATACTTCTTTCCTATTTATGGCTGAATAACATTCCATGATACGGATATACCACATGTGTGTTATCCATTTATTAGTTAATGGATATTTAGGTTGTTTCAATTTGGGGACTCTGATAAATAAATCTATTATGAACATTTGTGCACACAAGTTTTTGTGTGGACATATGTTGTCTGTTCTCTTGGTATTCACCTAGGAGTGGAATTGGTGGGTCATATGGTAACTCCATGTTTAACCTTTTGAGAAATGGCCAGACTGGTTTCCAAAGTTACTGCACCATTGTATATCTTTACCATAGAGTTTCAGTTTCTTCACATACTCACCAACAGTTTTGTTATTGTTTTTATTTTAGCTGTCTTAGTGGGTGTGAAGTGGTATCTCGTGATTTGCATTTCCCACGTGACTAATGATGTTGAGCATCAAGTCCTTATTGGCCATTTGTATATCTTCTTTGGAGAAATGTGCCAGGCACTGTTCGAAGAGATGGTACTTTATTACTGTGATTCTGCAGTTGAAGAAATTGAGATTTCATAATATGCCCAAGGTCACCCAAAAAGTAGCACAGCCATTGTTGAAGCTCAGGCAGTCTGCCTGCGGAACCTGCCATACTTAACACCTCTTTGGACTTGTTGGATTCAGAACATCTTGTAGCATTTCCATTTAACATCCTTTTCTTCATCCTTAAAATGGGAACCATAATGTCTGATCTGCTTGTTTCATAGGAGTCCAAATGGAGTCAACTTAATTCCATAAACACCCCTGCATGACCATATCATGAATAGGCTGTGGTTCTTGTTCTCAAGTTGTTCATTGTCTACAGAGGAGCCAGACAAGTAAAGAACTAAAATTCAGTATAAGCTTGTAAATGTCAATGCTATATAATCTGGAGGAACAGATAAATGCCAACAGTTGTTTGATATTTCCATGACACCTATTTTCTCTTGCATCTCAAAGGAAACGGCTGAAAAGACCAAGAGAGTGAGCACCAAAGAAATCTAATGAGGAGGCACAGGACAGTGTCTGGAGCCCAGCACTTTCTCTTCCACTTCAGCGCTGAGTCCAGTATACACAAGTGTCTGCTACAGTCGCCAAATCACCAGTATTTGCTTATATAGCAATGAGTTTCATTTTGTTTATTTGTTTTGCAATAATGGATATGAAGGTGGCTGGCTAGGAGGGGAAGGGCCATAGCCTTCATTTCTAGGAGTGCTTTAAGAGAAACTGTAAACGGTGCTCTGGGGCTGGAGGCTAGGAAGGAAACTGCATCACAATTGAGAGAGGAGCAGACCCAGATCTGAACCCCTTTTGAGTTTATGGCAGCTGTCAGCAGGCCGCAGGGAGTGCACGCAGTGCCAGAGAGAACTTAGCAAGGTGTCCCTGGAGGAGAGGTTTGGGAAGCTCCACGGTGAGGAACGCTGTCTGCTTGCAGCCTCTTTCCATTGCCATCAGCATGACAGACTTCCAACATCCATGCATCTCTTGGTCCCAATAATTGCCTCTAGATACATAGCCATCCTGCTGGTTACCCAGTGTCCCTCAGACTTGGATGTAATGTCTGGGAGGGTATGCCAAAATGATGCAGATACTTGTATACTTCAAGCCCCTTAGTGACCTAACCAAATTTTTAAAATACTTTTTACCAAAGGTGCTATTTCTCTGTAACACTTTTTTTTCCACAAGTTGACTTTATTCTTCAATTATTATCATTATATTATTGTTTTTTAATATTTTATTTTCTTGACTAGGTATTAAGCTTTTACAATTTTTCAGTAGTCCAACCACTTCATAGGTGGAAGGAGTTTGGGGTTCTTCCTGATGCAGGGGCTCAAATAACCCAGAGGCCCACAGCCTGCCACATCCTAGATGCAGCCCGTAGTTGGCCCCCCCCTAGCTTCCAACAGTCCATTATCTGCCAGCGGTATAGGGGGTGCCTCAGACCAAAGCCATGGGAAGAAGCATCTTCGTAAAAGACTTCAAAATCCAAAGATTAATTTGTTTTTATTTATTCTGAGAAGTTCAGGCAAATCCATATTCCAAAGGATAGAGACAAGTGCAGCCAAGCAGAGCTTAGGATATCCCAGCCCACCAATGTGCTCATTGGCCTACTACTAACTAGGAGAGTGAGTTGGCCCTGTCTCCTCCCTTTTCTGGACCTCAGTTTCCTCAGTGAGCTGGTAAGAATGCACTAGCCTTTTGATTTGATAAATTATAAATTCTGTGGTTCTGATCATGGGTCCAGAGGGGAGCTAGGTACCTGTGATTTTTCCTTCTTTCCTGTAGAATAAATGAAACCTTGTTGTTAGAACAAGAAATGTCAGATGGCCAAAAACAAGATGACCAAATTTGATCTCAGCCTGATGACCCTACAGGTTGTGCTGTGATAGAGTCCTCATGGGTAAAGCAGGAAGAGAGCGGGAAAGAGAACCACCTCACTCTGTCTTCATAATTGCATTTCCTGTTTAACCTCTGGCTGGAAATAGAAAGCATTCCCTTTAGAGATGAGGATAAAGAAAGTTTGTAATTCAACAGGGGAAAAAAAATGGAGATTTAATTTTAAAACTGTGACTTGGGGAGGTCAGTTGTTTACACTTATTCCTGTGTCTTTCGACTTCTGTGATTATTAACCCCACTCACTACCCTGTTTAAGATGCATTTGGAATACCAAAGATTAAAGCCTTGACATAAGATCTCATTTGCAGAAAGCAGATTAAAGACCATCAGAAGGAAATTATTTAGGTTGTAATGCACAGTCAACGCTGTGCCAAAAATAGAATTCCTTCTAAATTGTTTTCCTTGTTCTCATTTGAAAGGAGAAAATTCCACTTTGTTTAGCATTTCAAGCTTTTATGTATCATCCTATTTAAAAACTCTCTTCAAACCCCACTTGTGCAGTCTGAATTACAGCTCCCTGTCCAAGTGCCTTGGAGAACTCACAGCAACATGCCTTAATCAAAAGTTTTGCCAGTCCTTGGACACTATGGGAGAGGGCAAGAGTACCAGTTTGTTAAAAGCGAGAAACCAGTGTCTCTTCACTAGTCACAGATAGAACAGTGGTTACCATCCAAGACTACTCTACCCTGCAACCAACATTGTACTCCCAAGAGCAAATCCACATTTTTCTTGAGTTCTGCTGCTTCTGTGTAGATAGGGCAGCTGTTGTCTTTGCCATAGAAACACATGATCTGAGGACCATTCATGGAAAGCTGCTAAATAGCCTAGTTTGGGGAGTCTTGCATAAAGCTTTGCATGGAGCAAACAGGATTAAATCAGGTTCAGTTCCTTTAGCCCTCTAAAAGCATAGGGCTTATCCTGCAGGCTTCCTTGGGCTTTCTCTGTGTGTGTAGTTTTGTAAATACTATAGCATCTGTTAAGATCCAGTGTCCATGGAAACCTTCCCACATGCTGTGACTCTGGACTCTCACTGTTTTTGGAAACCAGTGCTTCTCTGCCTGCTAACAAGCCTATGTGGACCAGCCTGAATGTCTTTCCTTTACACCTATGTTTTTAAATAGTCAAACTTCAAGAAACAATCTAAACAAGTTTCTGTTGCATATGTGTTTGTGAACTTGTATTTGTATTTAGTAGGCTTCCATATTGCATTTAACTTGTTTTTGTAACTCCTGATTCTTTCTTTTCAGATACTATTGATGAATAAAGAAATTAAAGTGGTAGTTTTACTGGTTTCCTTTCCCCCAATTAAGGCCAAATTAAACTGTGAGACATGACCCATTTACTTCCTAAGAGTGGACTTGAATTTCAGGAGCCTTAAAAAGGACTGAAGAGTTTCTCCTGGATCTGCAGCTTGGATGGAAAGTTTACTCAGGGACTGGTAGAACAAGTTTCTTTGAAAGGATCATGGATAGTGGGTCTCGGGTAAGAGGTGATGAGAAGTCCGAGTGTCTTAGTCCCTTCAGGTTGCTATACCAAAATACCTCAGACTAGGTAATTATAGACAACAGAAATGTATTGCCGACAGTTCTGGAGGCTGGGAAGCCTCCGATCAAGGTGTCAGATGATCAGAAGTTTCAGTGTCTGATGAGGGCTTGTTCTCTGCTTCAAAGATGGCACCTTCTTGATGTGTCCCCACATGGTGGAAAGGGTAAACAAACTCCCTTAGGCCCCTATTATAAGGGCACCTATCCCATTCATAAGGGTTAACCTTTCATGATCTAATCATCTCTCAGGAGCCTCACCTCTTAATACCATTGCCTTGGGGATTGTTTTAACATGAATTTTGGGGGGACACAAACATTCCAGGTAAATGATAGACAAGGATTTGAAGGAACACTTCCCTTGGTAAACAGACTTATTGCAGCAGAGTAAGCAAGATGAAGACAGGAATAGGAGGCCTGTTGCTGGGAATGGGTGCCAGAGGCAGCATCTCCCTGAGTTCCTCATCCCATCAGACTATGAATGGAGCAGTTAGTTCCTGGCTTGAGTTTCCAGAACCTCTCAGTCTAATCACTTGTAGTGACTAAGTGAAGGAAACATCTATGCAGTTTCAAAATAAAGCTATATCCATTAACACAACCTGTTGAGGAATTTTTCTTTTTGTTTAGCCCCAAGAGCATCCACTATAATTTTTTTTTTTTACATAGTAGGTGCTCAAGAAAACATCTGGAATATAATGGAATGAAATAATTATGACCAGTTTGTGTTACTTCTCGAATTCATGCTATGGGGGCTGAGGCTCGACTTACATTTGACTTTCATTCTGAAGCAGAGGAGGAATGTCTTGATGCTAGCACAGTATTGAGAAACTGTGAGGAATACTTTGTACTCAGATATAAGACTATTTCTACAGGTGCCACAATCCACAGACTCTCCAAAGCCTTGCAGTTTTCTCATGTGAAAGTCACATCACATGAAAAGACTGCAAGGCTAATAAGGAAACATGAGCTAATAAGGAAATGGGATCTGGAGCTTCGAGTGAGGGCAGAATCAGAGGTGATTTCCTACCTAGTATTCATACCTCTTTCTCCAAGGCCTAGACAAACCTATCATTTCAAAGTCTACTACTCTTCCTCTGTACTGTATCTTAACAGTACACCTTAGATTTTGGGGGGCAAAGTTAAAATTTTAAATATTTTCTCCCATAATTTTATATCTAAAGCGTATCAATACTTGTTTTTTCTAACCACCAAGCATGCCAGCCAAACCAGACCCCTCACCATTTCCCAAATATATGCTGTAATTTTCTCTTTCTTTTGGCTGTGTTTCCTAAAAGAAAAAGAAGAAATACCTTTCTTCTTTCCTTTAATTATGTACACCTCATCCCAGCTCTATCCAAATCCCATTATCCTCTGAAAGCTACCCTAATTGTGGTACCCTAAATGGTCTTTTTCCTCTGAACTTGGATAGCTTTTCGTTATGTTTCCATATGAATTACCAAACGCTACTTTATATTTTAGTTACTTTGGGTTCATGTTTTTAAAAATAATGTTATTGATATATACTTCATATATTTTCATACCATACAATTTAACCACTTAAAGTGTATAGTTCAATGGTTTTTTAGTAGTATATTCTTGTACAACCATCACCACAATGAATTTTCGGACAATTTCATCCTGCCAAAAAAGCCCTGTACTCATTAGCAGCCACTACCCATTCTCCCTTCCCTCTAGCTCTTGGCTACTACTAATCTACCTTCCGTCTCTACAGATTTGCCTATTTTAGAGGATTTTATGTAAATAGAATCATACAGTAGGTATCCTTTTATGACTGGTTTCTTTCACTTATGTGTCAGAATAACATTTCCAAGATTCATCCATGTTGTAACATGTATCAGCACTTCATTTCTTTTTGTTGCTGAATTATGTTCCATTGTATGTAAATACCACATTTTATTTATCCTTCATTAGTTGGTAGAGATTTGGTTTGATTCCATTTTTTGGCTATGATGAAAAATGCTGTTATGAACATTCATGTATAAGTTTTTGTGACAACATATGTTTTCATTTCTCTTGGATATATACCTAGGAGTAAAACTGCTGGGTCATATGGTAATTATTTTTTTAACCTTTTGAAGAACAGCCAGACTGTTTTCCAAAGTGGCTGCGCCACTTTTTCATCCCCAGTATTGGTCTGTGAGGGTTCTAATTTCTCTGCATCTGCACCATCACTTATTAGCTATCTGTCTTTTTTATTTTAGCTATCTTAGTGGGTATGAGTAGTATCTCGCTGTGATTTTAATTTGTATTTCCCTGATGGCTAATGATGTTGATAATCTTTTCATGTGCTTATCAGTGATTTTTATATATTTTTTGGAGAAACTTCTGCTCAGATCTTTTGCCCTTTTTAAATTAGATTTTCTTATAGATTCGTGTTTAATCTCTGTTACCATACAGTAAATCTCTTGAAGGCAGTGACTGTATTTGGACAAAATCACAAACATTCTACTATGCTGTTATCCAGCACACCATAAATATGTGACTTGGCAAGTTAGTTAATTTCCCCACATCTCAGTTTTCTTGTCTGTAGAGTGATAATAATACATACCTTACAGAATGAATGTGAGGATTAAATAAAAAATAATGACCATAAAGCCCTTAGGGCAGTGCCTGGCACTTATAAAATAACCAATAAACATTACCTATTATTTTTACTTGTTTTTATACCTTGATAGTACAGTTTCTTACATACAGTAGGTACTCAATGTCTGTTTGTGAATGAATGAATTGGGGACTAAAATTATTTTACCTCATTTATAGTTATAGTTATGACTAGCTATCTATGGAAAGGTCAAACAAGCCAATATGGAACTAACATAGGCTGAGCAAGTGGATAAAATTTAGAAGATAGTCACTCCAACTCCCATAACAATCAATAAGGAAAATACCACACCAGGTCTAAGATAAACCCCTAAGTAGAGTGAATTCTATAGGAGTAACCATGAATATGCTTTTATAGCTCTAACAAATGCTTAGTCAAAGACTCCAAATATATTAAAAGATGTCATGTCATTATTTGAATCTTCAACATAAAAAAGCCTAAATTTCAATAAAGAAGCCTGGAGACATATTTAGGGAGGCATTTTAATCTATCAATTCTACAGCAATAGCAAACTGTGGCAGAGGAAGGAACTGCTGAAAACCAAACCACTAGACCTTATATGACAAAACTGGCTGAAGACTTACTCTTGGCCCCTGTAAATATAGAAGCCAATTCCTCCTCAGGATGGATTGAAAGACTGCAGCTCCCTCTACCTTCAATGCTGCCCTAAATACAGAGTAACTGGTTTTTTTGAGATTTGGACTACAATTTGCAGAAAGATGGCAGAACTTTAAACCACCCTAGGCCAATATGGATAAGCCAAACTTGAGAGGAATTTAGCAGTGGAAATAAATCAACACCTTGCATGCTAGTCTAAGCAACTGGCCTTCATCTTATAAGCAATGAGGAAACATGAAGTAAAGGCAGGAGGAAAAAGAGATGGACTGAAATCATGAAAGCAGTGCATTAGAAAGGACTATCTGAATCAGAGGTGACTAGAATAGAGGTAGGAGTGAGTTCAGGAGGCATGAGGTCCTGATAGACCTTGAAGACAAAAAATACAATAAGCATAAATCTTGGGCAAGCAAGTTCAGATCAATCTCACAAATCCTAATCCCTAAGACATGGAACAGCTCAGAGCAGAGAACGATTTATGTAAAAAATTGTGAAATCATGAGTAAAAACTGTTCTCAACTTTGTTTTTCTACCCTGATCATGATCTAACAAGTGGCAGAGAGTAATAGTTATAACTACTATTACAGCTAATAATAATAATTGCCACCACTTACAGAATATTGACTTTGTGCTACATACTTTGCTAAGCATTTAGAGTTATACCTTCCAATGACCCTATGAAACAGATAATATACTTCATAATACAGATGGTGAAATCAAGTCTTACAGAAATTAAGTAACAAAATCAAGATTAAGTAAAAGAAATCTGATTTCCAGAGGTGGGTTTGGAAACCTATATCTGATAAAAACCAAAGCCCACTCTTTTAACTGTATCAGTATACTGCTTCCTAACTAGAATGGCTTATGAAAGGATTCTTCACTTGGACAATTTCTTGGTTTTTCTGCAGTCAGTAAGTCAATAGGACTTATCTAAGTCAGGTATGTCAAAAGCTATTCATGCATTTATTTCATTCACTCACTATTTGCTGCCTATAATGTCTCAGGGGGATACCATGGTAAACAGATAAGGTTCCTGCCTTCAGGAAGCCTAGACAGGGTAGCTGAAGGAGGAGGACAATTCATTTGATCTCCTAAGTTTTTTCAAAACTATTCTAATCAAGATACTCATCCTGAAATGTATTCAATTTGACCAAGCATGACATAATGGTGAAGTTCTGATAAGTGGACAAACAGGCTATGTACTTTCCCAAGTTTCCTGTAACCCATGTTCCTTTCCCTAGGTAATGTATTCTGTTGTCTCCTCTGTCCTTTACTTCTCCAGTGCCCCCACTTCCCTTTCAGGCATCTCTTTCAGCTAGCTACAGATGAACCCCATCACTGTGGGGGCCCACAAGCCCCCATAGCTCTTACCACCTTCCAGAAGGTTTTCAGTATTCTGCAGGCTGACTGGATGGTTTCAAGGTAAGCCCATCAACAGACTGCCTGGTGGCATATCACTTATAATGCACTGCCCAATCCCACTGTAGATTGGGGAATGCTGCTTCGTTTAAACCAATCTGGCTGTAGTGAAAAGAGATACATTCATGTTACCTAAGATAGAGAAGGGTTATTATAATGAGCAGTAAGGAGATCCTCACATTAATCCAACTGTTAACAAAGCTGGCCTCAGTGAAGCTGCACCTGGTGTGTTACTCTGGATATAAGGCAGTTCTAGATTTCAGCAGGAATATTTTATGAATTTTTAAACTTATGTTCCACAATTGACAAAAAATTAGCAACACTCCCCATGTCTGCCTCTTTCTGATCCAACTGTGATTTCTTTCTGATCTGCCACCAACTGCAATTTCCCTCTGGGTTCTTTGGATTAAATTCCTGGAAGAGTGACGGGGGAAAAAACCATCTCTGCTTCTGTTTGGGCAGTGCCTTATAAAATAGGCCACCAGGCAGTTTGTTGATGGGTTTACCTTGGTCAGCCATCCACTATGGTTCTAATCAACAGAGCTTCTGGAGCAGGGTCATATACAAGGATGGCACCCCAAATTTTGTTTGGTTCAGCTGCCTCTCATCTAAGTGCTTTGCTCCAGTTTTGTGTGTGAAGCCCACAAAACCCCCAATCCTTAAGACAGGTGCCATATAATTCCAACAATCTCAATATTACAAAGTACCATCAATGAATAAATGCCACTTGTAATACTGACACTATTTGCAAGATCTTATTGCTTTAAATCATTAAAAATAACACTAAACTAAGCTTAAAAGAGCAGTGTGGTATAATGGAAAGAACATGGACTTTGGAGTCACATAGCCCTAAGGCTGAATTTCTTTTCTTTTTTTTTTTTTTTTTTTTGAGACGGAGTTTCACTCATGTTACCCAGGCTGGAGTGCAATGGCGCGATCTCGGCTCACCACAACCTCCGCCTCCTGGGTTCAGGCAATTCTCCTGCCTCAGCCTCCTGAGTAGCTGGGATTACAGGCACACACCACAATGCCCAGCTAATTTTTTGTATTTTTAGTAGAGACGGGGTTTCACCATGTTGACCAGGATGGTCTCGATCTCTTGACCTTGTGATCCACCCGCCTCGGCCTCCCAAAGTGCTGGGATTACAGGCTTGAGCCACCGCGCCCAGCAAGGCTGAATTTCTAATTAGCCTTTCACTCTGTGTGATAGCAGACTTTACTGTCATTTTTGAGCTTGAGTTCCCTCCTTTCTAAAATGAGGATAAACATTCTTTTATAAATGTGGTGATAAGTAGAATTACATTTTTTAAGGTTTGTGATAAAAGTAGGTGTTTGATAAATAAAAGTTCCTTTTCAACTAAAACATAATATTTACAAATATATTCAGTGTTTCAAAAGACTTAAAGTATCTAAAACTACTATGGACCAGGTACTGTTAGGGGATGGGTATATAATAATAAATAAGATAATTCTTTTCAAGGACTTTACAATTTAATCCAATTATTCAAAAAATAAGTCCACTAACTAAGAGATATATCCAATTCTGTCAATCCAAATTATTTGCAAGAAATCATGCTAGGCAACGGGGATGGTGGTGGTGTGAAGGAGAATCCAAAAATGAATAAAGATAGCCATTCTATATAAGTAGGAACCTACTCTACTTGGACATGAGATATGCATTTTACACTGAAATTTACAGTTTCGTTGCTAATAGCTTCAAAAAGCCAGAAACACAATTTTCAACTTTTAGAAAGCAGTTTCTCAGTTATCTTAGCTGCTCGATTGTCTGATTACATTTATCCTAAATGTAACAACCAAGTAGTTGGAGACTTTATGAAATTAAAATAGCTCTTAGTACAGCTTTGCAAGCAGGTTTTCAAAATTAGTCAGGTTACCCATTTCTTTACCTACACCACTTTTTTTCTACTTTCTTTCCTTTATTCTACATATAGTTCCCATCCTAAGTATTTTTTCCAAACTTTCTACTAGGAAGCCTGCTCGTTTGCTATTATTGAGGTTATTTTTTTCCCTTTAATTCCACTGACTTGTAATCTTACCTCTTACTTTTCTTTAGCAAAAAAATAAAAATAAAAACTGCAGGGTGGTGGCACAATCATGGCCCTCCATAACCTCTACCTCTTAGGCTGAAGCAATCCTCCCAGTAGCCTGTGGAGGAGTTGGGACCACAGGCAAGCGACACTATGCCCGGCTAATTTTTGTATTTTTTGTAGAGATGGGGTTTCCCCATGTTGGCCAGGCTGGTCTGGAATTCCTGACCTCAGTGATCTGCTGCCTGGGCCAAAGTACTGGGCTTACTGAGCCATGGCACACGGCCAACTCTTATTTCTGAATTATGTTTGAATCATTTCTTTTTCCCATTTTATATTACATTCCTATCACTTTTTAAAATCCCAAAGATTTTAAAGCAAAATAAACTATTATTTTAAATATTTGCAATTTTCACATATTAGGACTACTGTCAGAATGCTGGTTTGACCCAAATAAAGTCTGTTCTTAAAAGGACTCCTTCAAAACAGATGACTCACCAGTTTTAAAAAACATTCCATCATTGGGTTAAACATACAAAGTGCGTCCTTCTATGACTACAACTCAATCAGAAATTAAAGTTTAACTGCAGAGTAAGAGGCATGGTTTCTCATACAAACGACTGGCAAGAAAAAAAAGACTTTCCTCTTTTTTTAAGGAGGAAGGCAATTCAATGTCATTGATTATACACAACCATGTAACTTTCTTATGCATAATCTTTGTGGAAAAAAACAGCTAAGCATTTTTTTCTCATTTCGATTATACGACTTTTCAAAGTCATAAAATGTAATTTCAGAAAAGATTGAGTTTGGGACAAGGATGAAAAACATGTTAATTAGAATTACTAAATTAGTACCAGATTAGGATTTTCCCAAGCTGTTGTTTTGACCTGCAATACAAACTCAACGCTGATTTTTAAACTAACCCATTAATTTGAGCTATCTCAAATCATGGAACCGCCTCCATGACTCCCAAATTCACTCCTAGACACAACTTAGACCAAAAACCACGTATGTGCTTCTATAATTAAAACGGGTAAAACGTCCTTGATATATATTTACACTTTAAAAAAGAAAAAGATAACAATCCTGTGGGGCAAGTAGCGCAGGTATTACCCATATTTTATGCATGGGGCAACTGAAATCAAATCCCTGACCTAGGCTATTTAACAGCGGAAACCCCATGAAAGATCCGGGGGTTCTGATGTCTAGTCCAGCTGCTTTCCCACTTAGAAGTTGGCTTTGTTAATCCTTGGACTTTAAATTCCTGGGGTTTTCTGTCACGGAGACAAATCACTACTAAATTCCTGTGTGCTCAGAGACCTGGAGACAGGGGCCCCACTTTTAAACTGAAAACAAGTGGGCGGCGCACGTGACGCGCGAAGCCTCAAGGCCAGATAACCGAACAGTCCTTGGGCTGTTTACCGAGGCGGTCTTGGAGCCCTGGAACAGGTCAACAAGCTCCAGCGACTACAAAGCGCAGCCGCCGAAACCCAGCCGGGCTCAGATGACAATTTGGCAGCGTCTGGATCTGCCTCAGCTCTACGCAGTCCACGCGTTGCTCCAACCCTCTGCGCAGTGCGCCTCGTGAGGCGGAGCTATCTCCGGACCGGCGCGCGCACGCTAAGGCCTCGCGTCGCGTAACTAGGCCGAAGGGCACAGAGTTAGCGCGCGCCCGCCCGCGGCACTTCCGACTCAGCCCCTAGGATCAGGTTCCGGGGCCCCGCGGAGGTCCCGGCCTGTGGCCTGCGCGTGGCGCTCTGGAGAATCCAGCGCCACGCGCCTTGCGGTGGCCAGGATGGAGGAGGCCGGGGCGGCGGTGGTCACGGCCGGGGAGGCCGAGCTGAACTGGTCCCGCCTCAGCGTGTCCCCCGAGACGCTGGAGTCTGAGCTGGAGGCGCGGGGCGAGGAGAGGCGCGGCGCGCGGGAGGCGCTGCTACGGCTGCTGCTGCCTCACAACCGTCTTGTATCGCTGCCGCGGGCGCTGGGCAGCGGCTTCCCGCACCTCCAGCTGTTAGACGTGAGCGGCAACGCGTTGACCGTGCTTGGGCCGGAATTGCTCGCTCTGCGCGGCTTGCGCACGCTCCTGGCCAAGAACAACCGGCTCGGCGGGCCCAGTGCGCTGCCCAAGGGCCTGGCCCAGTCGCCGCTCTGCCGCAGCCTCCAGGTGCTCAATCTCAGCGGCAACTGTTTCCAGGAGGTTCCTGCTTCGCTCCTAGAGCTGCGCGCGCTTCAGACCCTGAGCTTGGGCGGCAACCAGCTGCAGAGCATCCCGGCTGAGATCGAGAACTTGCAGAGGTGAGCGCGTCTGCGCCGGAGGGTGCGGAGGCCTGGGGTGGTGTCTGGGAGACCTGGGGCGCCGGGCCTGGGCGCTGCCCGTTGGTCACGTGACTATTTCCAAGCTTGCTTTTTAACCGTGTGGTAGTGAGTTCTACCCGGCTATCTCAGCAAGTTGTTGTAAATATCTAGTAGGATCGCATGTGACAGTGTTTGGTATGTTGTGTTTGGCCTATGCAGATTTTCGAGGCATTTTTTCTGTCTTCCTTATTGAATCTGGGGCGTGGTCCGAACTGAGTGGAAACTCAAAACAGATGTAAATCAGAGTTTTGTCACTTCTTTGCTCAAAAGCCTTGCGTGGTTTCCATTCTCTATAGATCAAAGTACATGCCTTTGAGCATGGCATACAAGGTGCTCTGATCTGACCCTTGCTTTCCACTGCATTTGCAGCTTCTTCTCTGGGGCAATACTAACTACTGTTTGTGGTGTTCAGTGACCCATGCATTTTCCCACGTAGAGAAAGCAGCTTGGAGTTGCCGATAGGCACTCATTATGTGTTGAACGGATGCAGTGCCTCTGTACGTGTGTTGTTTCCTTTGCCTGGCATGTTTCCTTCACCTGGCAAACTCCTATCATCCTTCAAAAGCTATCTCAAGCTATCATCTCTGTGATTTCTTGTTTTTCTACTCCCTGCACAACAATTAAGTATTGCCTGTACTGTACTTTGTACTTTATTCATCCTGCCATTACTTTTACCTTATTGGATATAATTCCTTGTTTATAGGAATTATCTGCTTCACCTGCTAGATTATTCAGTAAAGGTATGTTAAATTTAACTTTAGGAGGAAACAGAGAAACAGAATAAAAGTGCCCGGTGGGGGAGTGGAAAATAGAACCAAATGTATTGTACAAAACGAAAAAGCAGTATCTTCCATCTGTAAGATATTTTCACACTTTATTATATTTTCAGAGATAACAACGTTAATAGTAGAAGGGACCTCAAGGACCTAGAAACAAATTCCATTTGACCCAGCAATCCCATTACTGGGTATATATCCAAAGGAGTGTAAATCATTCTATTACAAAGACACATGCACACGTATGTTCATTACGGCACTGTTTACAATAGCAAAGACCTGGAACCAATACAAATGCCCATCGATGATAGACTGGACAAGGAAAATGTGGCACATATACACCATGGAATACTGTGCAGCCATAAAAAACAATGAGTTCGTGTCCTTTGTAGGGACATGGATGAATCTGGAAACCATCATTCTCAGCAAACTGACACAAGAACAGAAAATCAAACACCGCATGTTCTCACTCATAGGCGAGTGTTGAACAACGAGAACACATGGACACAGGGAGGGGAGCATCACACACTGGGGTCTGTTGCAGGGGAATAGGGGAGGGGGACAGCAGGGGGTAGGGAGTTGGGAAGGGATAACATGAGGAGAAATGCCAGATACAGGTGATGGGGGGCGGGGGGGGAGGATGGAGAAAAATTAATAAATAAAATAAAGCTTAACTGAAAAAAAAAAAAAAAAAAAAAAAGGGCCCACAGAACTAAGGGTGGGGAAAAATAATGGCCCTGGAAAAAAAAAACTCAGTACCACAGCCTTAGGCAAGTCACTTATGTCCTAACCGTAACATATCCTAACTGTAGCTTTCTAATCTACAGAATGAAGCATTTGGGCAAAATGTCTCTTCGTTTACTCTTCAATAGATACTTGTTGTATACTTGCCCTGTGTCAGGCACTGTTCCAAATATTGGGGATACAGTGGTGAACATGATCCTGCCTTCATGGAGCTAACATACTAGCAGAGGAGACAGACTTAAAACAACTATGAACTTCATTATTTAATGACAGTGATTATGAGTTCTATGAAGACCTACAGAATGCCTTGAGGCAAAATGACAGAGGCACATGGGAAAGCCCAGAGGCAAGGAGAGTACTAAAATTCTGAAAGCAGGACAGTACGGAGTGAGCAAATCCTTCTGATCACAAATACAACAGCACATAAGTGAGCAAGTACTGGGAATTGAGCAAGAGGGAAAGTGGCAAATACAGATTTGGGCAGATCAGCCCATATCAGGTCTTGAAGGCTGTGATAAAGTTTGGATTTTATTCTAAGTGCACATGAGAGAGTTTTAAGCATGTGTCTTGTTGCTGTGCAAGAATGGAGTGCGGAGAGGGTGAAGAGACAGAGATTTTGAGGGCTGGTTTGAAGGAGGTCATTGTAGTAGGATGAGAGTTGATGATAGCTTATACTAGGAGAAATGATAAAAAATGGAAAGGTTGGAGAAAGATTTAGAGGTAAAATTGACAGCCCTTGGTTCCTTCTAATTTTAATGATACATAAGTCCAGCCTTGGAATTTTCTTAATATACTACCCAGGGAAAGTATTATTTCCATCACATGGGGAGGAAAGTAGGCAAAAATCCCATTTTATTGAATACCTTCAATGCAGTAGATCCTGTCATAGGTGCTAAATATGCTTTTTAATTCTCACAATGATCCCATGAGATGAGGTGCTCCCATTTTTCAGAGGCAGAAACTGAGGCTCAGAGAAATTAAGTCACAAGATTACAAGGCTAGTAAGTATTGGAACTGTATTTGACCTCTGTGGTTTATGACTCCAAACCCTTGAATTTTCAACAGTGGCAGAGTACTAGAACCTGAATCTTTGTGGGGGGTGGGGTATATTGTGGTTGGGTTTTTTTTTTTTTTTTTTTGAGTCGGAGTTTAACTCTTGCCCAGGCTGGAGTCCAGTGGCATGATCTTGGCTCACTGCAACCTCCACCTCCTGGGTTCAAGTGATTTTCTTGCCTCCACCTCCCAAGTATCTGCGACTACAGGTGTGTGCCATCATGCCAGGTAATTTTTGTATTTTTAGTAGAGACAGGGGTTTACCATGTTGGCCAGGCTGGTCTCAAACTTCTGACCACAAGTGATCCGCCCACTTCGGCCTCCCAAAGTGTTGGGATTATAGGGTGAGCCACTGTGCCTGGCCTAGAATCTTTGGACTTCTTACTGTTGGATTTGTGATCAGGAGGATTTGTCGAAGTCATTCACCTAGTTGACTTAATTTTCTGACCTGATTTTCTGGGCTAACAACTGTGCTCTCTGTGTTTATCGTTCATTGTGTCTTTGATGCCAATAATGTGTTCTTATTGATTCTTAGCAGTAAAGAGAAATAAAGCATGCAGCTGAAAAATGTAAACTCCAAATGTAAACTCTGATTGAGTGTAGCCTAAAAGAGTTGTGTAGAAATATACTCTGAGCTAGAAACAGCCTTGGCAATGACCCAATTCACCCTCTTCTATTTATAGATGAGGAAACTGAGATTTATTATAAGTGACTTGCTTGAGGCCAGATAGTGACAAGTGAGAGTTACAGCCTTCAAACCCTGCTAACTATTCACTACTAATATGATGCATTAAAGCTTCAAAAATGTAGAGGTGGAAGTTTAGTCACTTAAACCTTAAAGTACCTGTCCAAGAACACCATCTTCTCTTAGGAAATACGTGGATTCTCTAGATTTCATTGGTTACCCTGATTTATATTAATACTATGCCATGCTGCTTTTTAAACCAGATCTAGTATTTTGGCACATTAAAAAGATATGTGTCCTATGTAAGAGCAATTTTAAAAATAGTACAGCCTGTATAATCCATGAAAACTCCCTGACTCCATCCACTCAGCATCATTTCAAAAAGGAATAACAAATGAATACTCATGGCTTAATTGGTGTCAGTTACCGCTCCAGATTTAGCAGGGTATCTATATTTTCTATACCCTGTTGATTCTTTCCACTTGTGGCAAAATCTTTTTTTTTTTTTTTTAACATTTTCTAAAGGATTGCTTTCAAAGTATAACAAATAAGTAGATGCTGAAAATCTTATTAATTTTTATGATTAACTTCATAACCCTGGAGTAAATTAGACTATCAATGTGAACCATATGGTTGTAGATGTAGATACTTTCCATCAAAATGTTTTTATTCTTCAGCAAATAAATATAATTGGTTGGCTATAGTATATGGACAGATTTGTTTTTGTTATATAATGCTGACAAAGTAGGTGTAATTCATATTCCAACCTATTTATTTTTCTGAATCTTACTCTTTATTCTTCTCAGTTAACTTAAACATTCATTGAGGAAGAGCTTAATAGCTTCTCACTCAATGGCCACTAGACTTTATTTAAGTAAACAAAAGTGTCAGGGTTGTTGGGCAAATCCAGGATGCTAGTTATTTGGAGAGTAGGTTTGAACACAACTCAGTTTCGCTCTTCCCTACAGTCTTTTCTTCTTAAGTAATGCCTTCCTTTTTCTGTTCATGATGCCTCCCTCACTATCTGTTTGATGTGGCTTTGAAAGATTAAGATATGAGGGTGTGACAAAACAAAAGCTAAAAGTTAATGCTCTGGAATGTTTTGAAGTTGGTGTACAATAGGTTGATATCTTAGGAAGGAGATAGATGACTCAACCAGATGATAAATAGAATGCAGTAAAGTTTAAATGAAAACACTTTTCCACATTTAGAGTCACATATTGAGTTTGTCACTCACTGGCTTTCAACATCTTCCCTTTGACTTTTTTTATTGCCTTAATTTGGGGCAAATATCAAGAGATGATGCATCTATTTGTATGTCTACTTTTGAACATATAGGTACATTAAAATCCTGTGGTAAGTGATAGTATTTGAATATCATTTAATACAAAGATGCTACTTCAATAAAAACTACTTTCTTTATCCGAAGATGTTCTTATCTTTCTGTTTCTTTTCCTTTCTGTTTTCTATCTCTTTGTACATCCCTATCTTACTTTAATTTCATCTCACTGTGACCAATCATATAAGGTAGGATTGCCGGGCACGGTGGCTCAAGCCTGTAATCCCAGCACTTTGGGAGGCCGAGGCGGGTGGATCACGAGGTCAAGAGATCGAGACCATCCTGGTTAACATGGTGAAACCTCGTCTCTACTAAAAATACAAAAATTAGCTGGGCATGGTGG